TAGCTTCAAGTTAGTAATGGTGTATTAAAAGTCCATTTATTACTCGGATTTTTTAAGTAAAAAACAACGCGCCTGGTACCAATAAAAATCCATTTGCTTCTATTGCGGAGGTGTATGTATCTGATGAAACTTATGTAACCTGTTGAATGAATTGACGGTTTTTATTAAGATGTCCTAAGGCACTCGGTTTTACGACCGCAATTAAATATCCTCCATCAACATATGTATGAAAGTACAACCTCCTGCTTCCTCTTTCAGCTGTAAAGATTAGCAAACAATTTGCATACAGATGGACCGTTAAATATGCGTTAATTGGACAAAAACTATGACACTTTATGAGACGCGTTTGATTGTTCTTCAAATTTCCATTTCAGCTCGTAAAGTTAATTTATTTAACGGCCAAGTGTCCAGTTATAAAATTACACTAAAACTCATGTTGGATTCTTTTCGGCATTGCTTCCATATCCCTTTCACAGAAACGGCCACACGCACAAAGGTGATGAAACTGTTTTGATAACTTATGAGATAGAACTCTTAGGAACATTTACTAATTTTTTTCCAGTTCCACGCATTTTATCTTTGGCAAATTTTCTACATTGATTTTAATTTTCTGCTGGACTTTGGTGAGTCAAATTAAAACTTTCAACAACACCATTCAATGAATAATTTCCCATATTAGTCAGCACACTTTAATAATTGTTGCTATTAGCGTCGAGCTATTTATCAGTTTTGCATATGAGCAGACCACACACACATCAACAACGAAGAGAACACTTAAATCACTAAAACTACAGTAAAAATTGTCAGACCTTATTTTAATGACAATCGTCGTCGTATTTTGAAGTCGGTTTTATTTTAAATGGGCCTTTAATGTTTCATTTGTTTGCACTTGTTAAATATAATTGTTTTCAGGCAAGCGCAGTAATATAATTTGCATTAATTATCATTGGCTTATTTGCTAACATGTTAACTGCCTGGGTTTCAAGTATTTATTTGATTTGAGTCGAGCATAGTTAATTTTATTTGTGTTATAATTGGAATTGGGTGTATGCAAATAAAATAATTATTGTATGAATTTCGGGATAGAATAATAATAAAAAATCTGTGTGTTTGGCCAATTTAATTATCAAAGGATAACGACCAAGTCGCATCCCTATCGGGTGCTCTTTTACCGTCTATTCATCATTATAATCGGGAGTTGGCTTTTCTTAAGATGAATGCGCTAAGCATAAATTGCTTGAACTCGTTCAGCCGTAGCCAAATTCCTCACCGTCTAATATTTCCATTGAGTACATTGTCACAATAATTCTCCTGCGTACAACTATCAACATAATCAATCAGTATTTGTGTCATTAGTCGTAAAAACAACAAGTCAAATTGCCTTGTAAATCTTAATAATTAGCTAACTGTTGAAAGTGTGTAATTATTAACACTTCTGAGAATACCACTTAGCCGTAAGGCGGTTTTTTTGACCTGTTTTTTGTCTTCTCAACCCAGCTGGCCTGGTATGCAAATCGAATCAGTTTTCACTTTAATTTGATTTTGTCTAGTTCCACAAGGTTTCGTTCTTTTTCCACTGAAAATGCCAGTAACGAATTACCAATCGTGTAAATAAATGACCTCATAAAACCCCAAACTATTCCAAATGTTCTGTTGTTTTAATATAAATGTTCTAATGTAAATTTAGGCCACCCGCAATGTTAACAACGAAAAGCCGGATATTAACATGACGAAGTAAAGTAAAGGAAGATTGGGCTTGAAGGTAACTAATCATGTTTTTATCCATTACTAGATGTAATTTGAGCTTGTTTGTGGAGATAATTATAAATCACTTTCTCAGAAAAAAAATGTAAACCCAAGGAATGTATTCGCTTTTGTCTTGGAAAAACCGATACATACATAGCAAATTCACCTTGATCGGGGGCCGCAAGCCATAGATCTGCAATTAGAATATATCAATTGAAATATGGTGGGTTTTACGATACTATTACAGATTTGACCTTAAATTTAATACTTTCATTTCGTGCATAATTGTGAAATTTTGCTTGAAATGTGTCTATAACTGTGTCAGTGAACTTGATAAAATCTGAATCGAGACAAATTCTCAAAAAAGATTGAAATCTTATAGAGAAATTAAAATTTATGAGCCTTAATGTTAGGGCCGGTTTACTTATTAATTTTATAACATTCTTCAACGTTCCGTGTGCTATCACCCTGGAATCTTATTTTGCATTATATCCGGCTTCATGTGATCAATCACCACATTATTACGGACTTCTTTGCTAGGTCACGGCTGACCGATCATTCGATGTTATCGAGTTGTTATTGATTTTGTACCATTATAAACGTCCGAGCTTTATTTCGGGCCTTGCAGATGTTTTAACACCGTCATAAAATGTCTTCAAATTTACGATCGACTTCTAAGTCAAACTGGTGTTATTCAGTCATTTCGGTGGATGGTGCAATGAATAAATAGCGTTGTGTTATGTGAAGGTGGTTTAACATTTAGTTAGAGCATATTCCAGAGTGAAAAAGCTGCTAGTAACTTTTGAACAAATCCTTTGTGTATAAGGAATCAAACCTGCAATAAGTTGGCTGATTTCCTTGTTCTTGTGGGGTAAAAGCATTATTATCCTACGGATTTCCCCAAGGACGTGAGCGTCTAGCAGCTTTGGCATCATAATAAATAGGAAAGCCAAGCCAGTTTTTTAGGAGAAAACCGAACGCTTTCAGGTAGCATTTCCGATGAAATGAGATTCTTTGAATTATGAATAAAACGAAAACGGTTTACCGTTCAACAACCATTCAGAAAGAAAACATATACTTAGATGTCAAGTCCAGATTGCTTTTAAAGAATCCATACATTCAATGGTGGCACGCTTTTAAAATGTGCCAGTCACACAAAAGAGCATTGTTACATGAACCACAGATAGAATAATAGAACCACAGATGGTTTCAAAAGAAAACATTTTCTGTGGATGAACAGCAATAATGAAGCCTCCCGGCTGTAGATTTCCTGAAATTTACTAAACAAAGCGAACATCGTGTGTATTACAATTAATTATGCGTTGAATTGCAAATTTTATTGCGATTTTCAGTTATTTAACCACCGGTTTTCGAATACATAAACTCTCAAAAGTTTTCAGATAAACAATTGTAAATTGCTGTTTCACTTTTGCAATATTACCTTTTAGGGTTTTTCCCAATAAAAGATTTTTATTGATGATTAGAAGATTTGTAACCGGCATAGTCGAGTGGGACGAAACATGTCAAAAAATCGATTTATCAAGACCAAGGCTTACATGGTTTGGTTTTGGTCTTGCAGCAAGGATCTTGGGAGTCTTCATTTTAAATAATGCGCAAATTTAAATCAAATCGATTCAATAATAACAATAATAATAAAATTAAAAGATACTTAATTATGACCAAAACCCAACAGTAAAATAATTTGAGGCGCTTTGCTATTTGATTTCCATACGATTTATTCTTAATGGTAAAATCTGAGGTTTTCGAACATACGACAATTTGAATTATTCTGTGTATAATAATTATTAAACTGCATACTGTAAACTCTTCAGTGGTATTTATTTCCTACTGGAAGTTTTACTGTTTTATAAGCAGCATACTTTTTTTGATTAACTTACACCACAACTTGAAGGTCTACGTTAAAACTATTAGAATAAATATTCGTACCAACTGCCGTCCGATTTGGATAATCTAGAATAGAAGGAAAAACCTCTAGAACCAATTACACCTGTTAAATGTTAAGCCCTGTTTGATTTATGTCCCATTTGTTCAAAGGTTTGGTTTTTAATTTTAAATTTTCTCATTTAAAGTGAATCGCTGGTATCTTAAGCATATAAAACCGTTCAATGTTCTTATCATATTTAAGGGTTATGAGGACAAATCCAAACCAGTTCATTATCGAATTAACTTTTTTGCTAGTCTTTTAAAAGTCTTCGAATTGCCGAACATGATTTTGGCCTTGCTTTTGCATACAGGCTTAGTTCTGGGCTTGCAAATCAACCAAAAGTACTCCTCTTGCGTCTTTTGTAAGATATGGCTAAGGAACATAAAAAAATTCAAAATTCGTTTGAGGCGCTTTGCTATTTGATTTCCGTACGATTTTTTCTTAATGCTAAAATCTAAGGTTTTCGAACATACGACAATTTTAATTATTCTGTGTATAATAATTATTAAACTGCATACTGTAAACTCTTCAGTGGTATTTATTTCCTACTGGAAGTTTTACTGTTTTATATAAGCATCATACGGTTTAGATAATCTAGAATAGAAGGAAAAACCTCTAGAACCAATTACACCTGAAAAATGTTAAGCCCTGTTTGATTTATGTCCCACTTGTTCAAAGCTTTGGTTTTTAATTTAAAATTTTCTCATTTAAAGTGAATCGCTGGTATGTTAAGCATATAAAACCGTTTAATGTTCTTATCATATTTAAGGGCTATGAGGACAAATCTAAACCAGTTCATTATCAAATTAACTTTTTTTACTAGTCTCTTAAAAGTCTTCGTATTGCAGAACATGATTTTGGCCTTGCTTTTGCATACAGGCTTAGTTCTGGGATTGGAAATCAACCAAAAGTACTCTTCTTGCGTCTTTTGTAAGATATGGCTAAGGAACATAGAAAATTTCAAAATTCGTTTGGTTTGAATGAATTCCCAAATTCGCGTAATCGATTTGAAACCGGCGCGAAAGGACCTGCTGCTTTCTGACGTCAATAGCTTGCACCTACCCATAACCAGGTGCCAATAAAGCCAAAATGGTCATTTACTGATTAATGAAAATCAATTCAAAACCGATCGGTAAAATTGTAACATTAACCAATTTTCTTTTGCAAACATGGGAAATTCTCTGAAGAAAACGAGGAACATTCAAACACCCAATAGATTGAATTGTCCCAATCGTTTTACCACTTCCGTGCAATTCAGTGCAAATTTCTTAAACATTTGAGGATTTTTTTGTGATGGTCGGAAACTCACTTGGTCTATCCAGCTCATTGCTATGGATGCCGCCATCTTCAATGCTCTGAAACCCATTGTACATGCAATAAGTTGATGGTGTGAATAGCAGCAATATTGTTTTGAGCCACCACATAATGAGCACCATTTTCAGCCACCAATAACCTGTTTAATCCCTTAGATCCATTGTCGGTGCCCAACTATCACTCACATCCACCCACACTAGTAACACCACTTCTCGAGTGTTTTTCCCCTTTTTATTTATGTTTTTGTTTATCTAAAGTTTCTTTAATTGTTCGTCTACGCAACACTGACGATGGAGGTAGAAAGTTAATTTCTTGCGCGTTTTTTTCTGGATAATGGAAGAGATTGCTGGAGCGGTCTCGGCAACTTTTCCGGCGCTAATTGTGGCTCAGGGGGATTTCCGAAAAGTTTTCCTCGACTTTTCATGCATGCACGCGTAAAGTTGTCCCTCGCGGGACTTTCATGACGTAAAGTTGATCGTTGATTCCGTAAACGCGTCCGATCACGGTCGGCAGCGTACTGCTTTTCCCACTTTGCCGATGATTTCCATTGCGCCGCAACCGGAGCCCCGGCATTCGCGCTTGTCTTCCGCGCGATTCTTCAGCAGGACTTGCAGGGTCCCTCCGGATTCGTCTGCATAACACCGCAGACGTGTGTGCTCGAAGAACTGAAAGTTAAGCGGCTGCCGTTGTATGATGACAGCTAAATCTTCACATTGAACGCCAGCAAATGATCCAATATGTCTTCATCTGTCTTCACTAATTTTCTTTCTTGGGCTGATTCATTTCGTTCCCCTAATCACTCTCCTTTGGCTGGTAGAAGGTCGCTTTGGGCGCTTTTCTTGAACAACTTATTTCTGTGCGTTTTAACTTGCTATTATTTAGATCACCGAAGGCAAATGACAATGTTCCATATCTGATGCGACTAACGATATCGTTGTACTAACGTGGACACGACAAAACACTACTGGCGCTTTGTTCAGTTTGTGCCACTAGATCAGTGTCGTGTCCGCAGGACTCAGCACAACAAAAACATTAGATTCTAACGAAACTGTTGTACCGAACTCTACGGGCACAGCACTGATTTCGACACAAAAGCACTCCAAACTTACCATAACAAATACATTACACGTCAGTGCGATTGTTCCCAAGTTGTGCTTTTTCCATCAGCCGGCTTTTTTTCTATATAACCGTTTGTAGGACCTTACCTCAACCATATAGGACTTACTTTTTCAGTACATGGATTGATCATTTCCGATTTACACGTGATTTGGACGTTCATTGATCATGCAAGGATTTGAAAGAAAATTAAGTTCTGAATTCTGGTAAATTTCCTAGTCAAATTCCCCCATATAGGAACGTTTACCATTTCCGCCTCGAAATGTTAAATCCCAAAAACATATTTCCCCCAATACGCATACCGCTTTTATGAAGACATAAGCTGACAAACATACCAGACGTGCTTATAGAGACATAATAAATTTCCGAAGTAACTTTAACAACCAAGAACAAAATTCCGGCATTCTTAAACAGAACTTTCGCCCCAAAATCAGTCAGAACACGACGACATAGGCACGAATCTCGAAAATTTAATTAAATTGATAAATAAATATCGGCTCACAGGGACTGAATTCAATCTTGGTGGCTCGTATAAAACCGATATTTTAAAATATAATTTATGTGGGTTTCCATACCATTATCACCATGGGGACTAAAATTAAGATCGGATCAGGTAGCAAATCACTCCAATCGGTTTCTTTGAACATCGTGGGGAATATTTGAGGTCGCTCACGAAATTGATTCTGTGGTCACTGATATGAAGGCGGCATTATCATTTATTCAAACGATCATGAACATGATGTTAAAATGTTGATTTTCTTCGGATAAATCGCGCAAATCTAAGGGAATTTTTCCACTTTGCCACCAAGCAACTATTGAGGTAACACCTCTAATCCAGTAAACATTGCAAATCCTCTTGATGAACTGAGAACTTTCGAAAGTTTCCCAACTGGATCCATCTCTGAATTAGATGGATTCTTTTAGGGTCATTCGCAGCACGTGTCCAGGTCAGCTAACACGTAGAATTGGATTTTGCAGTAAAAGCTTCGTGCTAACTTCAGATTTTTCCGCTTTCAATCTGCTTCGGTTTAGAAATTTGTCTTAATTTGCATTGATTATGTGCCCCGCCCTAATGAAAGGAAAAAGCCAGTCAATCGAAAGTTGGCAAGATGGCAGCGAACTCAATTAAGGGAACTTTTATCGTCGTTGTTTAGGGGTTCGTTTTTTTCCTTCTTTCGAGTTTGTGTACTAAAAAAGCAGCAAGCGATTAACTCATGAAGTAAGAAAAAAGGTCGATTCAAAATATTTTAATTGGATGTCCCATATAGTCAATGATTAAGCGAGTAGGTCCACTTTATGTGGCAAGAAAAATGGTCGACGCATAAGGTTGGAGCACATTTTGAGTTGTTTGCAAACAAATATCCAATCTTCAATAGCGTCTCTACAACGTTCATCTACTTGTGGAAATTCCTGTTAGGCCAAGAGTATCTGGATTTTAATTCCGAAAGCCATTCAGTGTGCAGCCGGTCATTGAAGCTTTTGATATTATCTGAAAGTTATTTTCTAACAGGCTAATATGCATAAAACCATTTTTTCTCCAGCAATTCCATTTAATTAGCGGACTGAAGTAGTCGACCTGAATGGCGTCGTATTCACGTCAGCAGCTAATTATAGTTTTTGATATCTGTTGCACTTAATTATCAGAGAAAAGCCCATCAGCCCTTCTTAACTGCTGTACCGTATGTTAGCTATGTAAATATCAAAGGCACGGAATTCGCCAATTAAGTTTTCGTAATTAGAGGCGCAATAGTTAAAGTGGTAACACGGATAAAAGACACCTTTGCTGGTAGTGTTTTCGTGCATAAAATCGAACAACTTCTGCTAATGCATCGGGAACATTTAACATAATTTGGTGTAGAACTGCTAGAAGTCTATTAATTGGAAGAAATTAAGTGTGACAACTTCAGCTCGAGTTCTAAATCCACGTTTTTTTCATAGCCATTTAAGATACAATCAGAAACTTAAAATCGTTAAAATGCTGCTACTTTACCAAGGGTATCAACCGTCGAATCATCACCAACATGTGTGTAAACAATCCAAAGCAAATATTTATAACTTTATTGCGTTCACCTGTTTGGACAGAGTACGTTATTTGTTTTTGTTCTTTGGGGTTGATGCACATGTAAAAAGCAATAACAAGACAAGGTTATATATCTTCTTAGTAAACATCATTTCCTATGGGAATATACCGCTCGGCTTGGTAGACGGTCGCGAAAGAGCTAAAGCAGATTCTCTTGCCACTGTTTATTCTACATCGGTATTATTGTGCCTTAAAAATTTATTCGATTGACTCAAAACTCATTATGTCTTCAAATGAAAGAACTCATGTTGTTGTCGACTCCCATATGTTGAGCTGATAAATTTGTTGTTGGTGTAACCGTAAACAATCACGAAGTTTTATAGCTGATGAGACCAACTTGCTGATACTTATCTTGAGTCGCCTTCAGGTAGTTTCGCCACCAAATAAGCTTTAAATCCAAATAAAGCCCAAGATCGTATCGGATAGTATTTATTCAGAAGCTGAAGATTAAGAGTTATCCGTGACGTTTAAGAAAGTGCCGAATAAGTTATTCGCTTTTCATTTCAACGCCTCGGTGCATTGTTTGCATAAGTAGGAATCTGTTTAAGTCATACATTTTGTGTGTCAAGGAGAGTTTGAGGGCTTAATTTTTCCTAGATGATTTGCAATATAAATACAAAGTCAATTCGAGTCCGAGTCGATTTTCCTGGGTCAACAAGGGCCAATTAATCAATTATGAAACTTTGCTAAACTCGGGTGCTAGTTTAACAAGTTTTCCGGGTCTTTGATCAGTTGGAAGTTTCTTTCTGCCGTAAACTCGATTGCCAAACGTTCACATCTTCTACAGCTACTTTGTAAGTGACTAAAATGTCGCCCTATCTGACGATGAGCTAATTACGAAAATTCCTCTCAAGCCGTACAGGAAAAGAATTAGTTTAATCTAATTTTTTTACCCGATTTGTAACGGCTGTTCAAACACACCACACACATAATACGAGTAAGGCTGAGATATACGATCTGGGCAATCCATTATGGCAAATAGGCTTTAGATGCTATCTAAGCAATATGCTCTCTTTAATCTGGCCATCAGATGGAACGCCTAACAAGCCAGACCTGAGCCCTATCGAATTTAATAAAGGAATTAATTAATCGGGCTATGGAGCGTATCAGGGAGTAAATCATTCGAGGCAGGGAAAAGCGTGTGAATCGAGAAAATTTGTTAGAATGTAAATTTCGGATGAGAATTGTTTGCGTTACGGGTTTCGAGCGTAATATGAGTGTGCAACGACTCCGTTATAGTGTCTTGAGACAGTGAAGCGCTAAGTTTAAGCGTTGTAGTACATGTAATTGGCACAGTAAATTTAAAAAAAGTTGTGAAAAAAATAATACAAATTTATTCTGAAAGCTGTTATTCAGTAGGCGGTGGGGTTTATGAGAAAAAGAAAGGTTTTGGGCTAGTTATTGGAACTATCAATTTTCTATTATAAATACCTCAATTACCTGACCCATATACTTTTTCATTTGGCCGTAATTGCTGTACTTCTTCGAAGGAAAAAATTGACTCTGGGCGTAAAACCTGTTAAATAATCCAGTTTCTCTGAACATCTGTGAGCCCTTTGATGAAACATTAAATGTCCCGATGTAATTTTTCTGATTTTCGAGTTGCAGGAAACATCTCGTAAAACCACCAACTGAAACAAGTAACTTTGTGTCATAATTGATTTTTTATGATCCGAACAGATTCTTTTTATGCCTCGATGTTTTCCCTTTGAGACCTATTCAGAAGCCAATAAAGCCTCGGTGTTTTGACTGTGGTGGTGCCTAAATTCAACTGTGTGGAACTATTTTTGTACTGCGCGGTAAATTATTGTCTCATTTACAGCGGCTTAGAAATGAAAATGCATGGTTTAAGCGCTGAAGATTTAACAAAAGTCTGGTTTAATTGAATGTTTTAAGAGCTTTAGTTCTTGTAGAACATAAACGACTTCTTTTTGGGCCAAATGCTTTTCTAGCTTATCGGGCTTTTCTGTATAGCTAGGTAAGGAAAGTTCAGATTTTCAAATTTCTTAAGCAGCGGCATTATTTTCTAACTGACCATGAATGGATGGAATTCGATTTCTCTTAAGTAACTTTTGCCAGGTTTTGCACAACTCGATGATTTTTTTTATGGTGGCATATTTCCAAAGTAAACTCAACGGCCTCTTGTTGCCCAACTTAGCGCCGATTAATCCCAAGCATAAATTATCAAACCATATATAAATTAAGCAGGGACTTTTCGCAATCGATATCAAATAATTCCGATAAAGCACGGTTAAAAACGCCCTTTATAGATCGAACGTGCTCAGCTTGTAACGGCACTAGTTGGGATTTATCGCCAGTTTTGACACTTTGGACAAATAACTTGCTGTGGACGATCGAATCTGAAGGAAATGGACCTGGTTGGCATTAAAATAATTAATGGAGGAGATAGTCGGGCGGTTATA